AAATTTTCAAAAGTTACCACTGATTTTAGAGGCCACCATTAATGGTTGCCCAAAGTGAGGCAGATTAAAGGAGCCTGATGTTGTGTAGTGGTGCTCGGCGTCTTTTGGAAATCGGTTATTGCAAGATAATCAACCCAAATCACTGGTTACTCCTGAAAATCTGGGCCTACGTGTCTAATTATTAAAGGCTATTGAGTGACTTTAAAAGCACCCCATAGGAAGGGGAAGTGCACAGTTTCACACCCATCGGGGGAGGACTGGCAAGTGTTCTGTCTGAGTGCTGCCTCTCAGAAAGAGTTGCTTAGCTATGCTAAGGAGAGAGCAATTTGCAACCCCACCTTAAGGTGTTTAGACCTGCTGTGGGGAACCTGAGGCCCAAGGGCCGGATGTGGCCCTGGATTGCCTGGATCTGGCTCTTGAGACTCAGAGCCCCCCCCCCCAGCTACCCTCTCATGGGCTGGAGCACACAAAATCTACTAGCCTGGGCCCCCCGAGGGTCTGGTGTGCAAGGGGAATGTGGGGAGTATCTTTCTACTTCTCAGTTGGGGGCCACGTCAGTGAGGAGTGGGTTTTTTTTTGCTTCTTACTTGTGTGCCGCCCCTGACTGATTTTTCTGTGGGTCATGGCCCCTCACACGAAAAAGGTTACCCACCCCGGTCTAGAATATCCCTCTGGGAACCAATTCACCAGGTGGTAGAGCCATTGCTTCCTTTTGCTCCCCCCTTTCAGTAGGAGCACATCTAGAATTACCTGGAGATCGATCTTCTGGGGTTTGATTGAGCGGGTCTAGTAATGACTCGCTAAATTGACTGCTGATGCTGCCCCCGTCGATTCCAGTACTCCACAGGATTGCACAGTGGAGACTTGAGTATCTTAAATCAATTTTCTCCCCCCCTCTCCCCCCGTAGACCTGGCCTGAGTTATTCCCAAGAGATGTGAGGGAGAGCAGCCCCATTTCAGGATCTGTGCTCTCCTGAGAAGTGCACCAGGATGCTGTTCTGAGAGTCTCCTTAGTCCCTGCCCAACTTTATTGCATGGCTAGGTTAGCCTGGGTCACGATCTAGTTCTAAAGAAATATTTTAAAGAGTAAAACACAAAAGTTACTCTGAAAGTATCAACTGTTTATCTAGAGTGTATATTGATTTATAACAGTTTCTCTCACTGTGTTCTTGGGGAATTTCCCCAAGCCAAACGAAATTCAGTGAGTTCGTTCTCTGCTTTATAAATCATTCATACGAAGGAGACAATCTCAGCTGGAGCTGAATGCATGTCTTTAAGGTGGGTGATGAATTTGGTACCTTGTGTACAGAAAACAAGCCTTTCATCGTTGCATACAGCCACACACAGTCATTTATAATCATACCTTTATTCTTTTTGATGAATCATTTACAGCTTCACTCAGTTGTGGTTTGTTGAGAAGTCCAAATACTGGGTCATCTGTGGAAAATGGTACATTTACATAGCCGGCTGTCGGGGTGGGGGAATGTTTGGAATGTTCTCAAAAGGAATAATCTGATTGGCTGAAAATGAGGGAACGCTATGTATGGATACACAAAAGTTCTCCAATCCTGGGTAAAAGGCAATCACCAATGGGGATATAAAACCCCATGTAATTGGTTAACTTGTTAAATGTAGCATTTATTCGGTTAACCGATTAAAGTGGAGGCAGGGCAGGCAGGCAGGGAGCTGTTCCAGCCCCCACTGGTTAAGAACACAAGAATGGCCGGTACTGGGTCAGACCAAAGGTCCATCTAACCTAGTATCCTGTCTTCTGACAGTGGCCAATGCCAGATACCCCAGAGGGAGTGAACAGAACAGGGTATCATCAATTGATCCCTCTCCTGTCATCCATTTCCAGCCTCTGACAAACAGAGACACCATTCCTGCCCATCCTGGATCTAGTCATTGATGGATCTAACCTCCATGAATTTATCTAGTTCTTTTTTGAACGCTGTTGAAGTCCTGGTCTTTACAACATCCTCTTGCAAGGAGTTCCACAGGTTGACTATGTGCTGCATGAAGAAAAAACTTTTTGTTTTAAACCTGCTACCTGTTAATTTCATTTGGTGACCCTTAGTGCTTATGTTATGGGAACATGTAAATAACTTTTCCTTATTCACTTTTTCCACACCAGTCATGATTTTATAGACCTCTGTCATATTCCCCCCTTAGTCTCCTGTTTTCTAAATTGAAAAGTTCCAGTCTTTTTAATCTCTCTTCATATGGGACCTGTTCCAAACCCCTAATCATTTTTGTTGCCCTTTTCTGAATCTTTTCCAATGCCAATATGTCTTTTTTTGAGATGAGACGACCACATCTGTAGGCAGGTTAATCTTTCGCATTCTTAGTCGCCAACAGCAGTCACGCTTACCCTTTGAAATAGGCATCGGTCTAAATAACCTTCACATCACTTTTGGACAACAGTGTGAAGCGATATCAAAAGAACTGGAGCTGGTGGCAGTCGTTTGGTCTGGATGAGCAACACCACACAACATATAGTGTTGTAGCGTCTGAAGGCAACAAATCTCTGATCTGACACAGTTGTTTTCAACAACTGTTTTTCTGGCTCTTTAAAAACATTTAATTTCATTAGCTCCTACCCAAAGCACGTCAGGTTACTGGAAAAGCTTATCCACAGCCAGTTCTGAAGCTCACAGAAGATGACAATTAGCCATGGGTTTAGTGCATCTTCAAGTGTTTTTCCTACATGGGAAGGCTGTCTTTGATGTCTGGGTCATACTGTCTTTTCAAAACACTAAAATGACACAAGTTCAAAGGGCTTGACTTGAATGTGAAAGTCTGTGCTGCTAAGCACTTCTCCACGATTTCCTACTTAATGCAGGGGCTAACTCACATGGTGTATCACGACTAAGATATGGAGGGGTAGAATAACTCTTGTGAGAGAAATATTGGATTCCTGTTTCTAGCATTAACTAATTTAGTTACCGTACCCATAAAAAATTCTTCTCAATGAGTTATTTCAGACTGGTGAGCTCATAGATGTCTGCTTGGCAAACCTCAGCTCTGACTTCTTCATTCAAAATAAGATTGCTGCCAGGTTTTTCCGCCTCGTGCCAGAGCTGTCAAGAAAGCTCCATTTTGCAGAACAAGAGGGACACGTTCATCAGTGACATCCCTTTCTGTAAAAACAACTAGGAGTCGTGTGTCACCTTAAAGACTGGCAGATATATTGGGACATCTCCATGCATCTGACAAAGTGCTCTGTACCCACGAAAGCTTATGTCCAAATAAATCTGTGAATCTTTAAGATGACACAGGCATCCTCATTGTTTTTGCAGATACAGACTTAACATGACTACTTTTCTGAGACATTTCTTTCTGTCTTTGACAAGTTTCTCAAGAGGACTTAAAGCCTGCCTTTTGGGGCTAGCAAGTCATTGTTTATAATACGATTTAAAGTCTGGAAATGGAGTGTTTGCATCTGGTTTATGGTGTGATTTCAAGCCAGATCATGGCTAGGGGTTCATATGTGGATATGATGGCACAGAAATGTCAAAATTAGTTCTTGTTAGATTTTGGTCCCAAATGGTGAGAAATTGATACCTACCATTTTGAATTGTATTGACCATGCGAAATTACCTATTTTCATATAATTTCTGCCATCTTTAGGCGAGATTTTTATTTGGGTGGTCATTCCTGTGACATTTCAGCCGCACCCCCTCAGAAAATCAGGTTCTTTCTAGTTTTGAATCTGATCCAGACCCCTAACTGTTGTGGTTGTGGGTCTTGAATACAAACCCCTTGTTTTTCTCACCCACCAGTATTCAGAGGCTGTGATTTATGGTTTTGGTTTTGACCTAGCTCAGAGGAGTAACTTGTAGAGTTCTTTTGTACAACATGCTGTTTTATATCCAGCTTAGTTAGTAGCTAAGCTTTCTGCGCCCCAAAACTGTATGAGAGTGAAAGAGAGAGAGGGGTTGCTGGTTCATGTGATGCATAGCGTATATATGTATTGTTGTCATAATTTGTTGTGAAGGGTTAACATTGAATGACTTCTGTGTACAAGTCATGCCCATATTTGGAAACAAACAGCTCGAAAGCAGATATGGCTGTACAGCAGGGGTGAGGAAACTCAGGCCCAGGGGCTGGATGTGGCCCCTGGCTTGCCTGAATCTGGCCCCATGGCTCAGGCCTCCACCCTAGGATTGGGGAGACCACACTGGTGCTCCAGCCCCCCCAACTACCCCACTGTGGGGCTGGTGCACACAAAATCTACGAGGCTGGGCCCCTCTAGGCCATGCTGTGCAAAGAGAATGTGGAGTGTCTTTCTCCTTTTCAGTCGGGGGCCACATCCGTGAGGGGGGAGGTTGTTGTGGGGTTTTTTTTCTTCTCATTAATGTGCGGTCCCCAACTAATTTCTCTGTGGGTCAGTGGCTGTCGACCCAAAAAAGGATCCCCACCCTGGTCTAAAGGATGAACTGCTCGCCTGAATGGCACTGAAATAGCTAAGTGGTGGGACATGAAAGAATGATGAGTAGAGTCTGAGTGTCCTGGAGGAGAACTGCTGTGCTGGCATCCTCCAAAATGCACGTGCTCCTGTCCTGTGATGATTTGTGGGATTCTAGTTGATATTATGAAGTTGTTACTATGAAAATTGTTTTATCGTGAATGCTGATATTTCTGTGTATGCACCATGATCGGCAAGCCTGAAACCATGTCTCTACCAGGCTGGTAGGATTGTCTGCATCTGAATTAATCTCACCTGGAAGGAGCCATAGAGTGACTATATTCTATTAGTGGTAGAAATGTAGCAGTGTTAGTCTGGTGCAGGTGAAACAAAAAACAAGACTGTGTAGCACTTTAAAGACTAACAAGATGGTTTAATAGGTGATGAGCTTTCATGGGCCAGACCCACTTCCTCAGATCAAACTTTGATCTGAGGAAGTGGGTCTGGCCCACGAAAGCTCATCACCTATTAAACCATCTTGTTAGTCTTTAAAGTGCTACACAGTCCTGTGTTTTGTATTCTATTAGAAATCAGTTCTCTCTACTGTCCCTTTGCAAGGGCGCATGTTAGGGAGAATGGAAAATCCCCAGGACAGCACGCTGTTGATGTTAGCTTTTAAAACCACAGTAGGGAAGACTTGAAAGGAGAGGCACAGGAAGCTTGGACAGGAGACGGGGTAAGGGATGGATTGGCCAGGGTTGGAGCAGAGCTGCAGGAGGAAGGTTTCATGTTTGAGCCCAAGCTGTGCACTGCAGCAGATGGACAGTAGGTGGCCCCAGAGGGCCCAGCTCCAACCCCCTCCCCCCCCACAAAAAAAAAGTTCTGGAGTGGTGAGGAAACCGAGGCAGGGAAATGCCTGTTTTAGGGTTCATTGTTTTTGTACCGATCTGTGTTTCTTTTACGGCTAAGTAAAGAGCACCAATGTGTTATGCTTCTGCCCAAAGTGTCAGTGTATTATATGCAGCACCATGTGGCCCCTCGTTTGCAGGGCATCTCCCTCTGGCTGGTGTCTCTCCGTGTCCTCACGCTACGCTCCAGCTCTGTGTCTCTCCCAGACTGCGGCGTCCTCATCAGGACACTGCCCGCCCAGCGGTGCCCACTCCAGTGTCTCTTGGCCCCCTTCTGGGGTGTGTGTGTGTTTATTGGTCCCTGCACTCTGGGGTCCTCCCCTCCAGGGAACCCCCAATTCCCCCCACACCCACCTTGCCTCAGTGACCCACTGCCAGTGGTTATCTAGCCCCTGCCATGGGGCAAACTGCTGTCTGAGATGGCCGCTCGTCATGGGCAAGGGGGTGTGAACCTGCTGCCTTTCCTATCTTGGCTGTCCCCCTGCAGTCTGGGAGTGAGGTCAGGCCAGAGCTCCCCAGCCCTGCCTGCCTTGGGAAGCCTCCAAGCTTCCGTAGCAGCCAGGTCCCTCCTGCTCCCCAGCTAGAGTGAGTCTCTCTCTCTTCCTGGAGCCCCCGTTTCCAGCTGGGCCCTAATTGGCAGTATCTGCATCAGCTGTGGCATTTGCTCTCAGCCCTCTCCTAGCTGGGTTTTACCCTTAAAGGGCCAGAGTGGGGCAGACGTCCCGCCACAAGCCCTAAGATGGGGCAGTGTCTGGGCTCTGTTGAGACTCAAGAAGCTTAAAGCACATGAGGAATTCAGTGCTGGCAGTCTGGTGACTGGCGAAGAGATGGCACTTGGCTGGAGCAGTGACATAGGGCCGCAGGAGCATGGAGAGAATTCCAAAGGAAAGTAATTACCTGTTTCTTCTGCAGCCAGTAATCACAACAAACTCAACCAGCCACTACTGAGGAATACGTGGCTATGCAGGGACACATTTGCTGGTACTCTCCACAGGTCCAGACTTTGGGGTCACATATATGTGGAACCTTAGGCACACAATGTAATTCAATGAACTCTCCTTCCAGATATAGGAAATAACAATGGGACCTAATTAGTGTGAACAGTGGGCACCCAGGGAATACATCCACTCGCAAGAGACAAGTCTACAATTACCATATGGCCAAGCAACCCGAGGAATAGGAGACGTGTATTAGGGCTTACGGCTACAGAGTCAATGAGAGCTGGTCGGAATGGGTTAAGCAAGGGTTGAAAGAATAAAACTCCTAGGAGTCACAGAGTACAAACAGTTCATGCTGAAATGATCCACTTAGTGTAATGTTTTCCTCTGTGCTCCCAGGTGGTACATTCTGAGCTTTGAAAATCAAGTGACACTAATTGAAAACTCTTGCAGCCAAATTAATGAGTCCATTTTCCATCCATTTCTCCTTTGAATCTTGTAGGCAGCTGCAGAGAGTAGGGATAGAAGGCTGCGTGGGGGGCAGCAGACTGACTGTCAGCTAAGAGGCACAAGTGTGACAGACAAGTTCATTGGTGAAGGAAATCAGTGGCAGAATCTGTTTTGTTTTCTAAATGTATTTATTTATGTAACAAGTCCCTCTTGAGGGCATTCTCTCTCTCAGCATGCTACACAATATGGATTAGAGCTGTGAATGGGTTTTGAGTGGAAAGCAGCCTGATCTCTTCCTGTGAGTCTATATAAAATGGTTCTCATTGCGTTCAGTAGGCAATGTGACTGTCACGTGTTGGTTGTTCCTTTACCGTCTCCAGAGGGATGATACCTACGGAGCAGCTGAAATGATAAGAACATTTAGAACAAATAAAAGGGGATACTCATTGATAGTTTGCATAGCTACCTGTGGAACTGTCCACTGCTGGACAACATATATTCTAATACGGGACCTGGATTGTTTTGAAAAGGACTGGGTAACTTTCTAACAGCTGATACCATTTGTTAGTGTGGAAGCTGAGAAGGGGAACCAAACCTCATGCTCCAAGCTGATCTCCATTGGGTATCAGGAAGGAATTTTCTCTTCATAGACCATTTGAGTATGTGTTGTTAGCTGCTTTGGCCTTTCTCTGAAATATCAGGTATTGGCTGCAGCTGGTGGCAGCAGTGTAGACTAGATGGGGCAATCGTAAATCCTAGCTGAACCTATTTAGTCTGCTACCTTCCTTGTAATGCAAGTATGGAGCCCTGCCTTTGGGCCTGATACTCTAACTCTTACTTAGACAAAACTGGGGTGAAAGAAGGCTGCAATATTGGGGCTCCTAGTGGTGGTTATAGTACTCTCTGTATCTCAGCAACAACATTCAGGATTTCTTCTCACTTGTCTAATCTGTTCAGCTGGGGCCTATTCCGACAGATCTCACAGCCCTTGCTGTCCCCAAACAGTGATTTCTTTCATGAGGAAGAAATGCAGAGTCATATTTGTGAATGCAAATGGGTAAGAGAGCTTATTTACAGTGCAGGGTCCACCAACCAGGTTTCTTCCAACAGCTGCACCACAGCAATACATACAGAACTGTGAATGGCAGACAGCACACAGACAGGCATACTGTGCCAACAGAAATGGTGTGAGAATCCTGATCTAATCTGCCAATGACCAGGGATGCATAGTTGAGGTTTTACCTGCTTTCCATGGGCCAGATCTTGTGAAGGGCCAAACATTTCCTGCCCTCCTCCCCACTGATCAGTTCTGCGCCTCCCAGGGTCAGGTCCTTGTCTGGAGCGTAGCAGCAGACATACAAAGATTTGCAGTATTCCTGAAACCTCCTCAGTCCCCAGGACACCCAAGATGATCTGTAGTCTCTTGGAAGCGGATACAAATTCTGCTATTGACATAAGTGGGAGTAAGATTCAGTCCCTGAGAGATGTTCTCATTAATGGGGAAATGGGCCTGAGTGAAAATCTGGATCCAGACATTCCTGAACTTGGAACTGAATCCAAATTGTGCAACTTGGGCCCATCGTTAGCTTTCGCATCCAGTTTCTGTCTAGTGGCAGATTAGACCAGGAGGTTACCCCTTTCTGTGAGTGGTGTTCCTGTGTGTCTGGGTGATAGCTCTCTTGTTGTGCAGTAAATGGAAGAAGTCTTTCAAGCCCCTGCGGGCCAGAGTTGGTGTAAAAGCACAAAGCCCCCATGCAGATGGCTCTGGCTTCCCAGGAATCCTCGTCCATTCTCTGGGATTGTGGGCAAGCCCTATATAACTGTTCCATGGGGGAGCAAATCCCCACTCTCCCATTACATAACTAGAGGGGACTAATGAGCATCCTTTCAGAGCACTGACATTTCTTCTCCCATGGCTTTTATCACCTTCTATAGTTTTTAGAGGGCTGTTCCTAGCCTTTCTGTACAGAGGCCTCTTTGAACCAAGCCTGGAGGGAAGAGACACTTCCACCTCTTTCTTTCTGATCTCCAGGGTGGAGTTAACAAGCCACACCCACCACAGCGAATGAGTAGGATATAGTCAGCTCTAGAGCTGGGTGAATTTTTTTTGTCTGTAAATAGCAAATTAGCTGAAAAATGCACCAGAGCTATTTGCAGAAAAAAATCAGCAGTGTCTAAATCTCTTGTTTTGACCCTTGCTTGGAATCAACATTTTCCTAGTAGCCTTAACGCTCCTTTCCTGTCACCTGCTGGGAGAGGAGCCCCTCCTCTTCTGTACACCCCATTTGGTGGACCAGTTAAAGGTATGGAATGTGGTGGAGTACTTGGTATTGTGAATGAGAATGACAGATAGTTTCAAAAGGGCCATGCTCCAGCTAATAATGACTCTTTAAACCAGCCAGAATTATCTTCACTGTGCTCTGGGGAAGCCATGCAGCCTTTTCAAGCCTGTTGGTTTTCTCCTCCCAACCTCCACCGGTTCATTTATCTGAACAGTCGGGGCTGTCTGCTCCATATGGACATAAATGCAAACCTGAAACCCAGCAGATAGTATTCTGCAGGCTGCTCCATGATGAAGGGCATATTGGAAGCTTGACAAGTGTTAAAGTCGGAGATGCTGGACTGGAAGATGCCTCCGGGCGACTATTCCCAGCTTTGGAATGCTCTCTGTAAAATGCTATTTACTCTCTTTTCTACAGACCCCAGTGCACCTGGAGTAGTCAGGCAAACAGCAGCATGCTGGCTGCTAAGTCTGGAGGGCTTAAAAGCTGCTTTTCTATGAGTAGGTTGTTTGCGGTGCTCCTCCGCCTGCCACGGTGACAAAATATTCATTGGCTGATTTTGGGAGAAGCCAGGGGTTTGGCAGAAAATCCCCACTGACTCTGGGGTTGACTGTTTAAGCACCTCCTGTTTAAAAACTAGCAGTGCCTTGTCTCCACAACAGTGGTCTAGCAGGATAGTTCTATATCTCCATTTGCCCCACTACCTAGTGCCTCTTGGGTCAGTTTTGTTCGTTCATCTGTGGATGTACTTGCTCTTGCAAAGTACTCTCTAGCTGACTGCAGCTAATGCTTTGGAAAAAGCATGCTACTTATTTGTAAGGCGTCTGCACGAGACCAGAAAGCTGCTGATGCCTCAGATAAATGAAACAAACTCCCTTCCTATGTACCTGGTCATATATAAAAAGTCCCTTATCAGGCATTAATTAAAGTCTCAGCACGTTTGTTACATCCAGGACATACCTGAGTTCTGGAAAGAAAGCAGAAAGCGAAAACATTTCCCATGCAGACCCTCGCTTTGTTACCCCCTTGTCCTCACCGTGGGAAGCACAATTTACTGCATGCTCTTGCATTCCTTTCCTTCACATTGGAGTCTGACGTAACTCTCGCCTCGAGGTGCTATGTTTGCTTTGTCTTCTGGAATCAGAACGTACCACCCTGTCCATTCCTTTACTCCTCCAGCTCTGAGGGATCCAGATGTTATTCCTGGCTTCTTCGAGGCCATATGCAGTTGCCATTGTTGTCTGTTAGACATCAGGAAGAATCTTTTGATAGTTATTATAGATCAGCAACATGTTTTCCTTTGGTAGGCTTATTTGTTCAGTCTAAAAAACCCCACTCATGTCCTGTAAATCATGGCATTGCCATTAACATCAATACCCTCCTGATTTACACGCACTGAGGAACTGGTTCCATGGATTCTTAACTTAAGGGTGGGCAATAATTTTTTGCCGGGGGCCACTTCGGAAATTTTTGAAGTGGCCCTGGGCAGCACAGGAAGGGGTGGGGCATTGAGCAGAAGGGGCAGTGCCAAGATATTTCTGGATTTCTTACCCCCCAGACAATGATTAGGGGGCCTTTGCCCCCACCCCATGTTCCCCCAAGGTGCCCATGCCCCTGGCTTGGGAGGAGACTTCCCTCACTTCCCTGCCCCTAAGCCGCTCTCCCCCCCCCTCCCGTGCGAGCAGCGCGCGGCGCTTCAAAGCACCACGTGCTCCTGGCAGGGCGGGAGGAAGCTTCATGTGCTCCCCCGCCTCCAAGACGATTAGGACCTGGGGGCAGGAGAGCGCACGAAGTCTTCTCCGCTCTCACCCCCGCCCTGCGAGCAGCGCGCAGCGCTTCAAAGCGCCTCATGCTCCTGGCAGGGCTGGAGGAGACTTCGCATGCTCCCCTGCCCCTGCCCTGAATTGCCCAGCCTCCCCGGGCCGGATCCACCCTTTTGCCCACCGCTGTCTTAAGTGAACCAAACCTTTTGTTATTAATAACAACATTACTTATTAAAACTGAATATTAAAATAATTTATTTTCCCTCATTAGGTTGTTTATTTACTTAATTTTCCCAAATCAACAAAAAACACTTTAAATGTTGCTTGGAGTCAGTTTCTTAATTCTGTAATATTTGAATTACAAGCTATAGTGTATGTGATTTCTTAAAATTATTTTTAATGCAGGGTAGCCTATGAGATTAAGTTATAATAGAAAGTAAAACAGTTCAAAAATCAAAACCATTTGAAAGACTATTTTGCCTAGAGCAGGGGTGGGGAACCTCAGGCCCGGGGGCTGGATCTGGCCCCCCGAGGCTCAGCACCAGGAAGCCTGCGCTGGCGCTCCAGCCCCTTTGCTGCTCACCTGCAGGAATGGAGCATACAAAATCTACTAGCCTGCCCCCCTAGGCTCCAGTGTGCAAGGGGAATGTGAGGAGTGTCTTTCTCCTTCTACGTTGGGGCGTCTTACTTTGCTTCTCACTTGTGTGCAGCTCCCGACAGACTTTTTTGTGGGTCAGCAGCCCCCCGACCCATAAAAGAGCTCCCGACAGATTTTTTTGTGGGTCAGCAGCCCCCTGACCCATAAAACTTTCTCCACCGCTGACCTAGAGAGACTCTCAAAAGTCTTGGTGAAAATTTCAGCGTACACAAAGCTCAGCTAATTGCATACAGAAAATGCCATTGTTAAAATTGACATGAAGATAATCCTATTCAGGAACAGTTCAGTGTCTCAAAAGATGACATAGCTGCTGAGTCAGTATTGAAGCCAGTATCCCTATTGCCTGCATTATTTTTTTTATTTTAGAACCAAGAAAAAGTTTTGCAAAATAATAAGCACAAGTACAAAGCTTTTGATGTTTAACCTAAAGTAGAAAAGAAACAAAAGAGGAACAGACAACAAAGGGCAGCAAATTTTGCTGCAGACAAGAACTACTTCCCTACCCTACAACCCAGCACCATCTAGAATGTTTTGCGTGTGGGAATGTAATTGTTTCACTTTCTTCAGAGTAACATATAATTATGCTATATATTATGAGAATCTGAAAGTTTCTCAGAGCAATTAAATGTCAAGTAGGTGTGATCCAAAGCATTGGGCGGTTTCCCATGGATTTCCACAGGTTTTGGATTAGGTGCAACATATGGCGATTAGAAACTTGAATGAAGTTTTCTAGATTTTTCTGAGCACCTGTTAATATTTTAGGGAGAAATTTCTAGTGAAAATGAATGGGAGTTGGATGCCTAATTTACAAAGTCCAAAGAATTTGAGGCAGGAGCTGTTCAATTTCCAGAAATACCTTTTCAGGGTCCTCACATTTCTTCTTGCCTATTTCCTCTTGATTATTCATCTGAGCAGTTTTACAGTGTCTCATTTAGACATTGAAGGAAACAAACCATTCCTTAAGAGTTCTGTTAAAGGAAGCTATTGACTTAACTGATTCAGAGGTCAGCAAAAGCCCCAGACACTTAAATGTGATTGACTTAATTCTCATGAATCATCCTTATGAAGTCAAGCATTCATATAAGTGTCCTCAGGCCCAGCGTCAAGTTTTAGCTGCATGTTGAGTGGTCTCTAGTATTGAGGCAGCTTGTGGAGTCCGTGGGGAGGACTGGAATAGAAGGGAAGGAGCCTGGAGTGAAATGGCTGAGATCCCCATGGTTGAGTGCCAATTGGGGATTCCTTGTATGCAAAGGGAATCCATAGGGGGCCAGTTTTTGGCCTCCAGTGCACGACAGACGTGAGGGGAGGATCAGAGGATATGGAAGGGCAAACTGTGGGATACCGATGCCATTGTTATGTTTGTTTCTCATGTGACCGGTGCCTATGAAGCTTAACGACATTGAATACGTTGGCCTGGATCTATTAATAAATGCAGATCTTTGATACTTAAGTACTCTGCAAAATGTATTGGACCCCCAGCAAGAGCATCCAGAGGGCAGGCTCCAGAGAGCCCTGTCTGCAGCAGAAACAGGTTGCAGCACAGAGACTGAAGGATTTGAGGACGCCACAATGGGGCCCCTCAAACCAGCTCTGTGTGGTGTCCGTCTGCAACAGAATTTGTGTGTTGGGCAGGAGATGAGACAGCGCCGTTGGCTCTAGAGCAGGTGCACAATGCCTGCAGTGGCTGTTTGAGATGTGGATGGTGTTACTATATTCAGCTATTCTTCATTGTGGATTAAGGTGTTATTTTTCCACTTCTACGCTGAGGAGATGGCTCTTAGGGAGCCAGTTAATCTCGTCTTTTCCTCTAGATCAAGCCTAGCCACAGAGGCACCTCCTGCTATGATAGAAGAGAAAGCGCCAAAAGTATCTGAGAGTTTTCCCCCCTTGTGCCAAAACAGTGACCCTCTTGTGCATTTCAATACATGAATCCTGCTTGCCTCTGTTCACAAGGTTGCTTAAGTTTCTACATTTTGCTGCTGCTAATGAAATACACCAGCTACAAGCAGCTGAAGAACATGAAAAGTGGCTTATTGAAGAATCGAACGTGTTGCATTCCAATTCTGTGAGGTTACACTCCTGTACTGCTGCCCAGCCTGAGGCGTGTGTCTGTCCTCGCTGGCCCAAAGCACTAGCAGTCCCTCATTCACACAATTCCCTATGATTTACCTGAGACCCAAACTCTCTCTACTTCAGGATTATGCGGAGACCTGGGAGGGATATACTTAGAGATGAAGTGTTAAAATGAAAACCCAGCTCAGCATTATGGCCTTAATTCAGCACAACACTCAAGTCCATGTGAAAAGTTAAGCACGTGTTTACATCTCATGACTGCGCTGGAATTTACGCAGACACTGAAGTGTTTTGTTGAATTGGAGCTCGGAAATAATAGGTTCTGTGAAATCCACTGGCATTACCTGGCTAGCTGGATGTATCCCATAATGCATCACTTTCTTTGACACCATAGACAGCCGTGGCGCTAATGGTATCTGTAACTTTGCAGAAGAATGGGTTCTGGGCAGTCTTAGCAAACCAGGAAGGAATGCTGGAATTCCCAAAGATCCAAGTGAATTTAAAAGGAGATGAATTCTTCTTTACCTGAGTTTCCTCCACAGCCTGGTGAGTAAGGGCATTCAGCCCACAGTGCTGGACTTCATTCACTTTTTCTTGCTGTTCACCATTTCTGCCTTGACAGGGGCAGTGAACATCACTTGACTTGCTGCATTGGTAGGTACACCAATACTTCAGCTACTGTGGGGAGAGCAGAGGAGTTGTAAATAAAATGATCAAATGTTGATCAATTACTTCTCCCTAATGGGCAAGGATGGTTTTGTAGCTGAAGTAAAGGGCTGGGAATCAGGAGAACTGGATTCTACTCCCAACCCTGCCACAGAGTTCTTGTGAGACACCATGTAAATAACATAACCTCTCTGGGCTTTGGTTTCCCATGTGTAAACCTCATTTAGGTGCAGTTAGAGTTACTATTTGGATACTGTGCTGAGACCCATCGCTAGAAGGTGGTACAGCAGTGATATTCCTGAAAAATGTGCATGACTCTGTCCACTAACTTACAGTGGTTGCTTCCTGTTAATTTCTGCTTGTGCATGTAAAAGTCCTCTGTCCCTGGTTTCAGACGTTTTCACCATGTCTGATATTTCTTCCTTTGGGAGCCAGAAATTCTCTTCTAGCATCTTTCCACTTGATAGTGTCCTAGGCAAGATTCATCTTTGGTTTGAAGGAAGATGGCGGTTGTTTGGGGTTTTTTTAAATGGCTTTCTAATTCTAGCAGCCATCACTGTCCCCTAATGAAAAAGCAGCAACAAATGACTTGTCTGTTCTTTATTTACCACTTGTTACGGGAATTCTAAAGCCAAATTCATATTTGGCTCACATTAGGACTCCGTTGCTTTTTTTGGTTACTTTTGGGATGACTCAACTTACACCAGAAATAAACACAGTGATTAATAAGGACAGCATGTCAGCCACTGGGCCTGTGTTATGGTGGAGTTATTCCTCACTGAAAAAGATGAATCAGACCCTCCATAAAAGCTCTGGCTGTATAATCCAAAGTGTTTGGAGGCCTCCTCTGCTTGAATAGGTCATATGCAGCAGAAGCCACCTACCTCCTGTACCTACACTTTTAGTTTATCTGACACTATTAAAAATCTTTATCTGTTGCCAATAACACTGGAGATTATTAATGCTGAAATCATGTTTAAAATCAAATGTATTTTTCATTAGCAACACCTATATTAGCATTTTATACTTCGCTGCAGTTGGTTGACAGCAAGCCACTTGCTTTGCCGCAGTCACTGGTAAA